TGCCTAGCAAGGATAGTCGCCGATACGCCTTGGATAAAGATAAATGAAGTGTGGTAGGTGCGAGCTGATCTAAAGACCTTTGAGATTTCAGACGGCAATCACAATGAAATCTTTCACGAATCTAAGGCGTCCTAAAATAGGAAATGCTTCCTTAAAAAAATGTATATACAAACAAATGTAACAAAGACCTATTAGGGTTACGTTCGTATACGATCAATAACACACTTTTATACTCTCTTTCGATTTCTCTCTCTTTCATTAACATTTACCGACCGTTAGTTCATCTCCTTCGGCCCTAAACCCGGCGTTGGGTGAGATTTCCTATTCCAAGAAAAGGACACCTTCAATTATTGAATCACATTTGGCTATGGAATACGTTGGCTTTTGTATTGGACAAAGAGATTGTCATATTGTTGGTTTTTTCATTCACTAATTACCAACCTTAAAAGCGTGTCTTGCATCTATTAATTTAACTTCATATTTTATAATCTAATGTTTTATTTCATAATATAATTTGTAGAAACGTGTTTGCTACTTTGCTAGGGCAAAAGGAGACACCTCACATGAACTCTGTGGGCTTCTTTTATCAACTGTTTGCCATCTCCATCAACTACTAACTTAATTCATCTACTTATTCTCCTATGTTATATATTAATTATTTTTTGATTACCTAGTGTAGGGTTAAAATCGGAAATATACATAATTATAATTACGATTATCGTTTCATAGAGTCAAATTTGCCCAACCCTCTTATTAATATGGTTGTTAATTAACACATAGGTCCAAAGAGACTCGACACAACACGAAAGCTCAAACATGCCCAAGTTGGCGAACTCAGGCCCATCGTGTTTCGGTTTTGGTTTCGGTTTCATTTGTACACACACACACACTTGCTAAGTCGACTCAATTTATACGGAATTGAGGAGAGAGAAAGTGAATAAGATTTCAATGTAGAAATGAAAGAAGAATTAAGATTGATTGGGAAAAGATCTAAGTGATGAGAAAAAAAAACTTGTTGAATTGATATGAAAAACAAAAATTACTGCTTCACAATGCCAAAAGTTACCATTCATAAGCTTCAAAAGAAGATCAATGGGATGTCACATGGCAGTATTGGCCTTTAATTCCTTTTCTTGTCATATTGTGAAATAATTTATTTTCTAAATACTATTAAATTTAAATATTTAGATTAGCTTTTTCGAAAAAAGAAAAAAAAAATCGGAATTTTAGGAAATTGGAATGAAAATACTATTCCGAATCGGAAAATTTCGGATTGGAATTAGCGAAAATTGGGAATTCCATTTTGTTTATCAATCTATGTCCTATGATATCAAATTCACAGCAATATAATATCGATATTATAAGTGTAATTTTCAAAAATACTAGATTTTTTTTGAATTATTTTCAAGAACTAAAATCGGATTTCGAATTATAATTTCATTTCTATTTTAATTTATGCCAATAAAAAAATTGTTCGAAAATCATTGACCGAAATCAAAAACTCGAAAATTCCGTTCCGATTTCTAGAACCATTATTATTATACATTAATAGCCGTGCAGCTTCCATCAAGTAATATAGTGACAACAAATCAAGACCAAAGCTTTCTTTACTTATATATATATATATATATATATATATATATATATATATATATATATATATATATATATATATATATATATATATATATATATAAAAGACACACACACACACACAACTGCAAGTGTAAGCAAGGCCCTTCATTTTCTTGCAACTCTCATTAGGATTCATAAGACAAAAGTAGAACACAAAAACAGCTTTTAATTTGTTCCCATATTCTTTACCAGGTCAGTTGTAAGCTACAAATTAATCTTTATTTATTTATGCTTCATAAAAATCCAATCTTGACAAACTTTTTTTTGATTGTGGGGTAGAAAAAGAATGGAAATAATCCAGAGTGAAGAATCAAATTCAAGGGAAATAAGTTCGTCGGAGAGGAAGAGCATAGGGAGGGGGAAGATCGAGATCAAGCGAATCGAAAACACGACGAATCGGCAGGTCACGTTTTGCAAGCGAAGAAATGGTCTGCTCAAGAAAGCTTATGAATTGTCTGTTCTTTGTGATGCTGAGGTTGCTTTGATTGTCTTCTCCACCAGAGGCCGCCTCTATGAGTATTCTAACAACAGGTACTAAATTCTCTCTCTCTCTCTCTCTCTCTCTCTCTCTCCTTTCTTGATTTAGGGCACTACTGTTCTTGTTTTCTTTTGGACATCTAAAATGGGTACTGAATAGTTCATACTGTGTTTTTTTTACTTGACACAGATTCACTTGTCTTTATCTCTTTCCTTTCACTGTGCGTTATTAGGTTTCTCTATCTAAAAAACCCATTTTCGTACATGTTTTGATGAATGTAAAGATCTATTGCAAAGGGTAAGAAAGGTAATAATTTGGGATGTTTTTGTAGAAACATTGAAATCTGCCTCTTATCTTCTTCCTCAATTTGCCTCTCTCTCTCTCTCTCTCTCTCTCTCTCTCTCT